TGACTAAAATTTGGCGCTGGAAAGAAAATTCGAAGACGTACGAGGTTTCAAAGACTCGTGATGGCTCGCTTTTGGATCCCGAGTTTCCAACCTTCTCTTATTTCTTACCGGTGGGGAAAAAAATCCTTAAAACGGGCTAAATTCAAAAAATAACCACGCAGAGCGAAAGAAGTGCTATTTCTCAATGATAGGGTAAAATTTCGAGGCTTTATTTCACGTTTAGATGATTTTATTGAAATTTTTGATGATTCCCCATACATTTCCTTATAACAGGACACCACAGAAACCAAGCTTGGGCTACCTGTGATTCATATAGCTATTAAAAATACTTGTGCTAGTTTTGCACCACAATCTTGTCATGATATAATTTATATTTTCTGTATGTAGTGATGGTTTACTCGAAAGTTTATAGTACTTAAACCATCGCTGCACACTCACTGTAGTAACTGTTTATATTTAATATTTATTCATATATCTTTTTATAAAATCTAGAATAACTTGTAAATATAAGCAATTATGATTTGTTATATTCATTTCTATTTAAAGTATGTAAATAAATTGAATTGAATTAAATGCCTTGCGAAAACCCAGGGTTACTCTTCCCTTCATTCCCTTCCCCCTAAAAAATCCTATGATCCTACTCGATGTCCTGAAAGGTTGTTGTCTACGGAAGATTATTTCACTTGGCGGGAGGGTAATTATCATGCAGGAAAAGGGGTTGGGCAAATTATTACCTTCTCGAGGCCCTCCTTCATTGGCGGGCAAACGTTGCGCCACACCCCTTAGTGTTTGAGCCCCCCACCCCTAATCATAATTCCCTACAAATTATATCTCCCCACCTCTCGGGAGCTTCTTTTAAACTACCTTCTGCCCCCACTACCTAGTAAATGAAAAATCTCCCTCATACAAAACATGCCGCAACGTCCAAGGTGTTTGCTTCAATTACCTGAGACATGAAAACTGCCGACTCCAAACAGAAGTCCTTTAATCATTGGTTCAAGTGTAATAACGGGTAAAAAAAACAACGATTTTACCTTGTCTATGGATCATTCCTCCATGTAGAATTCGAGATACGATACATCGGTTTTCGTCATTCAATTTTAACGTGATACCCTGAATAAAAGAAAATGGAAATACGGAGAAATGTTTCAAGATAAGATAAAACAAAATGAATTTGCATGAGCGAGGAAATTTAAAGTTGCTTGATGAAAAATTGCAAGGCATTTCAATGTAAGCACGATTTATCGTCGGTAGCGCAACATTTAAAGGAAGCCATTTCAAAGCTTCTGTAGGGCGTACTTTTAATCTACGAGCCATTTTCGAAGTGGGGATTAAGCCATTTTAATGTTGCGGCGAAACAATGGAGCGTAACAAACAAACTTTTGGAAGCCGTTACAGTGCTTCTCGATGCCATAACACGAAATAGAGCGCAATGTAAAAGCCATTCTTTTGTTAATGTCCCTGTACAAACTGCAATTTATTACACAGTGTGATATATAATCGATTGGGAAGCCATTTTAAAATTGGGAAGCCATTTTAAATCTGGGAAGTAAGCCATTTTAAATCTGGGAATTTATTTTAAAACTGGAAAGCCATTTCAATGTTATTTTGGGAATCCATTTCATTGTGATATTAAAGTCACGAGGAAGCCATTTCAATGTTACAGTAATATATTAGCATTGTATTTCATTACCATTGGCTCGTTTGGATTCTTATGGAACTGCACAAGTCGAACTCGGGTCAGTTTCTCTGCTGGTCGTTCACTGGCAGGTCCATCATAACCATTCGGCGCGCCGTCTGTCGCTGACATACCGGGCCCTTCACCGTTCGTCTTCGTCAGAACCCCATCATGTGCTTCGAGCATCGCCTTAGAAAAACAGGGTAAAAAAGATAATAAGTCATAGATTTAAAGCTAAGCTTTCGATCTCTTAGAAGATTAAGAACAAAAAGGGTGATAAAAGTAAGCGCCTATTTGCGTCGCTATGGTAATAGAATTATCTCTGGGTTTTATATTGACGCATATGATCGTTTTAGATAGGGCGAAAGAATTTATTCAGTTAGCTGTGTCGGCGTATCTTCCTTGTGTTGAATTACTGATCAAAATCCCCAAGTGTCAGCATTAACATCATCATGATAATCATCACCATTTATGCTAGATACTATCTCTCATGAAAAAAACAGAGCAATGGCGATGCGCCTAGTATACACTCTACTATTGCAAAGTAAATGGAGACAAAAGAAAAATGAAAACAAATTATTATGGCGTGGGTAGGAACACGCAAGCTCAAATACCACGAAAAAATCAACGTACTATCACCCACCACTATACTATGATGCTAGCATAAGAACAAGTACAAACATGGTTTTGGCTTAAATTTTTCGCTTGTGTTTGCGCGCATATTTTCGATAGCATCGTAATAGACAACTTAGCTTTGCTTCTGGTCACCGCGCAAGTGAGAATCATGAGAAGACAGAAAGATATTTGGTAACTCACCATGACAAAGGGATCCGAAAGAACGTTTTGTAGCTCGTAGCAATCGTCGTCTTCCTCTGCTCGGAACTCGATTAAATCAATAACCTACCAAAAATATAATACAATTATAAAACGCGACAACGTGTCTACCATACAATACTTTACACTATACTAATAACCTAAACACCATGTATTTGCTTCTTCTAGTACTTAAAATGACCCCAAAAAAACACGAGCCGTTGGCGTTTTTTAATGTTTTTTTTTTTTCGATAAAGAATTGATGGATTTTGTCGTAAAAGAGTAAAAAATAAAAAAATAAAAAAAAAGAGTTAAAATTTATACTAACGTGATTCGAGATATTTGTTAATATTCTTCACAATATAACTCGTGCGCAATTATTACTTAAGTTCTTAAGGATATGAAGAATAGAATAATCCTAAAAAGCACTGCTTACTTGGTTAATTGGTTTTGAGATCTTTCTCAAAACTACTGGTAGATAAATCGAAATATAAGTCGTGAATTTAAGAATTTCAATTTTTATCAAGTACTCGTGTCCTACTTATCGAAAGAACTGACTTGAGCGCCTCTGTTCTAGAAAATCAACATAGCTGGTAGTGAATAAATTGCTGCGGGAAAAATCCAAGAAAAAAAAAATGAGAATTTTAAACGAAGTTAAAAACGGCAGTGGTGAACGAGAATAATTATAAGATTTTTGCGCGCATACAGCAAAGATTTCACTAGATATCTAAAACTTACATGAATGCATATCATTTCGAAATGATAACAAAAAGATTTTCTTTCTTTATCAACAGCAAGAAACAATATTGAATTAAGTTTCAAATGGCAACGAAAAACATCATTTATCTCAACAAAAACAAATGTAAACGCAAAAAAAAAAAAAAAAAAAAAAAAAAAAAAAAAAAGAAATCCAAAAAACTATTTGCTTAGGTAATGTATATTTGTACCAAAAGTGACTTGGGCTGTAGATGTGATTGTTTTTTTCAATGGCTCTAGTTTCACTCGCTCTCTCGCCTTGGGGTTTTACAAGCAGATAGACCACAGAAAACGGATGACACGTAAACATCAGCATTTATCTGCTATTTTTCGATTGCTCATAGCTATATGTAATGATGTTATCTGTAGGATTTGGCGACTAACATTCCATATATCTGCTTTTTGTTCATTTATTAATTATTAAAAATGAAAATTGAACGACACAAAAGTGCTGGAAGTCAAGGCTTTCTCTAGCTTATTTTTAGAGAATTTTCAACTAGCAACGAGAAAAGGATATTCTTTACTTTTTTGAAATTTTGGCATTTGCATTTCTTATTACGATGTCAATGGTCACCACGCCCTGATGTTACCGTCACGCAACACTATGTCACATAACAACTGATTCTCGTTGAGGGAAAAACACAACCTGAGTAGAGACTACGTGGAAAAAATGAATAACAGTCGAGTCTAAGTTAAATCAATATGGACACCTTGCTATTACGAACACTTGTGATTGTTCCCGTATACCGTTCTGTGGTCCTCTGGGTGTTCGTATTAGCCGAGGTTCGACCGTACAGTTAGTCTAACTGATGTAGATGTTTACCCCATAGTCTTGTGTTTGGTGTAAAGCGCGCGCGAACTATCACCCTACAGTCGATCCACAGTGATGTAAAAAATATCGAAAGTAGCGCAGCGAGTATTTGGAGAATCTACTCACTTCTTTAGCGTTCTGCTCCGCTGTTGGCGTCGTACTAGGCGGGCAGGATTCATGTGTTTCGGTCCATTCTTGACTCCTATCGTACACCTGTTTCACGAGAAGAAGAATATGCGTCAGTTGAAAGCTTACACAGAGTAAAACAAGAACAGATTGGTGGAAATATCATTAAGATAGGAGTTGCGCACGCTGGTGGAAGATCACACCTTAGTGTGCCTGGCTACAGCAGATAAACCATGTTTATTTAATCAAAAAGATTTGAGGAAGACATAGTTCTTTCACGTGACTACAGGATGGTAAACATGACGTCATATCGATAAACAGTTGACAAAAATATCAGGCGACGATAAAATAATAAAAAGAACCGTTTTCAATAATGAAATATAATAAGGGGGGAAAAAAGGAAGAAGAAATATACGATAGCAGATTTACCGTCTGAAAATATATATAATTTTTATGGGATTTAGATTCTGATAGTGAAAGCTTATGTCAATATATATATCTAAAAAAATATGTAAGAGATTTGACTGCAGCTTATCGCGTTTTTGAGCGACATATGAATGTCTGAATAAATAATTTAAGAGGTTTTATGGTTAATACAAAAGAAACGACAATATAAATTAATAAAAATGCCGAGAGATGTGCAGAAAACAAACGTAGAGTTAAACTGCCAGAATTAGAAACCACTTCGGGTTGACGTATCACGATACAAGCGATGAGATTTGCTACGATATGGACAAACAGAGAATATCAAATGGTTTGGAGGCTTTTTGTCTATATTTCATTAAGAAAAAACCGAAAATATAAGTAATGTTGATTACGAAAGTCAACTAAACCCGAAAATATCATCGCATACTGAAAACCTAAGAGTATTATTTGGCTTAGTTTAACAGAGATTCATACCTTAGACCAAGTGTGATCAGAGAAGATGTGGCTTTTTAAGACAGACAAAGGAATGAAAGGAATGAGGAGTTTTGGAATTCCCCGAATGAATTATTAATATTTCTAGTGCTATTCTTTTAAAGTTTCGATCTACCCGCGAAGAACTAGGGTCTATTAAACTTTCAAAACGTCACAGGAAGTCCAGGAACTCCACAATAGGACATTTGCACGATGGCGTCATTGACCTCTACTACCAGACTCCCTTGCACACTTTCTTTTGTTCAATTTAAACTAGAGAGAAAATTCGCGAAGCATCTTGGCAGTAGGAGTCAAATGACGCCATCATGCAAACGTCCTATCCAAAAGTTTCCACATAATGAGCTGATGAGCATTCTCATATTTTTTGCTCTGTTTCTGGAAGCATTTATACAGCGCTTAGGCTTCCTGTGGTGATGTGACAAAAAGGTACCTGTCGCTTGCGCAATGCATGATTGATCATAATCGATTCTACGCGCATGTCTACGAAAAAAATCACCTATTTTTGCTATTTTTTTTATCTTTTAGAATCTCCAGCGCTAATTTAATGGTATCTAAGATGAAACTATTTATAAAACCTAGAGAGGAAAAGAAAATCAATTTGTAAAAGTGCAGAATACATCCGGCGATAATTGAAGGTTTTGTTTCGGAAAAGTAAATAATGAAAAATAAAGTGACCTGTAGTATAACGAAGGACAAACGATAGTATCTCACCTCCAGAAGAGCTTGCAATCTTTTATCTTCAAAAAATGTTTGAAGAAAATTCGYCTCATTTTCCTTAGCACCTGTCAGGACTTTGATCTCCTCTAGCGAATCAAGCAGCTGACTGACAGCACCTGCGGGCGCGTAACAAAAGAAGATATTACTCAGTGTACAAAAAAAAAAAAAAAAAAATTTGTTTTTAATCCCCCCCCTCCCGACTCCCCTGAAAAAGCCCCCCTCCCCCTTAGCAGATTTAATAGATATCTTGTTTGCTTGTTTGGACGTCAGAGGTTATACATAGTATTTGACCCGGTATTTTTTTAGCTCGTCTATATTTTGGTGCAATTATCTTAAATCACCGATATCTAATTGCACAGTTGATAGTTTTGCCATGGCTCTTAAATGCCTTCTTTATCCGAGCACTCTAATTGGCTTGTGTGCAAGTTCGTGCTTTTGATTAGTTCAGCCACTTGATAAACTAGTTTACGGTTTCCTTTGATCAGTAATGCGCGGTATTCCTTTCGGATTGAGAAGTTGGAAATTCAAACCGACTAATAAGACAGTAACTCAACACTAGAGGAATTCTATCAAAACCGAAATGTTTCTAAACAATATGCATGGCTTCCTTCCGTGCAAATACCGAGAACGCGCTATCATTACTGTCAGTAAACCTTCAAATTTTATCGCTAACACATGGCTAAATAAGATAAGGGCTGCAATCTGTTTACTGTAAAAAAATTCTAATAAAATAATTTGTTACGAAAAAAGTCCAAATTTTGTGTGAACAGCGAGAAACGGCTGGTTGCCTATAGTAGACATTGAAATGGTTTTCCCTTTGAACCAATCAGAAGCACGAATATGTAAAACATCCAATCATGTTTTTATGAAACCATTTAAGTGCTGCTCCTAACACTCACTCGACCTGTTTTCTTGRTAAGAGCTCTCAAAGAATAAACATAATGTGCCATTCTATCATTCTGGGAAGTTCTCCAGGTGGAGGTTTTTTCGAGAGAACACTCTTAATGTTATGTCAAAAACTTGAAAAAGGTACAGGTGTAAAAAATAGCTTAATCCAACCCCCTCACCCTCACCCCACACTCACCCCACCCGAAAAAAAAGTATTCTGCACAGGATACTTACCTGTTGCAGTAAGATCATCATCTTCGCATTCAAAAACGTCGTCGTCGCTCTGTAAAATAAAAAAACGAAAGCTTTAAAAATAAATCAAACCATTGAAAAAGTATACCAAATGAGCTCGTCTAGACAAGGTTTTTACACGACTTTCATTAAAAAAATAAAGTAAATAATGAATGGTCGAACTTGCATTAAATAGCTCCAAAGAAAGTCAAGAAGTCTTATTTCAATAGTGAAAGCATTGACTTATTCAATAACAAAATTGAAAATAAATGTAACATTCAATCGTGAAAATTTGGAATTTTTTTAATTTGTCCCGAATTTTTGGCATTTGTATTATTATCGAGAAATGATTCGTTATACAAAATTACGTTCAACAGCGAAAATCTTGAATTTTATTTGGTAAAATTTAATAAACATGTGAGAAAGTAGTAATCTTTTTCACAATTTCCTGGGTTGCCCGTTTCCATAGAAACCCCTGCCACCGTTTCTATAGAAACCAAGGAGCGCAAAAGCAGATTTCGTAGCAGCATACGGTGATGTAGCATTAAAATGGCTTCCCCTCTGAACCAATGAAAGAGCGAGAAAACGCATCTCGTCCAATCAAAACGAGTAAAATGCTGTACAATTCATTCAAATTCGCACCACAAGAATCCTTAATAAATATTCTTGAGTGGTAAAAGATTAACTGCTAGAAAACGAGTTAAACAAATGTTCGCCTAACCTGAGTTCCAACGACGTCTCCATTAACAACTGAAAAAACGAGACATTCATGATTAATTTCATCGTATAAAAACATAATAAAAACGAAATTTTGGCTAAATTTCGCTACAAATGGCAAAAGCAATAGCAAAAATTAAGAATTCCTAAGAAGACATGAATATTTAAAAGCAAAATTCACTAAAATACCTGGGAATTTTCGACTCGCAACAGCAGCAAGGACCGCTCCCTGGAAGAGAAAGGATAAGAATAGAATTCAAAGGATGTTATTTTTTTAAATAAAAATATTTAACAAATGAAAAAATACTTGATTTACTAAACCCGATTCACACAAATAAAAATAAGATCTAAGTGACTGTAAATGTTCGTATCAGATGTTGATGAGGTTTCAAGATATTACTGGATTCGGGTCTTGAGCAACCTCGATAGATTCCGCCATATTGATGAATGAAGTCCGGCCGCCACAGATCAACGGAAAGCTACACCAACCGCGAGCAGCACCAAATGAATGAAGCTTTAGTAGCTCAGATCACATCTCTTGCATTTATCACAGATGTCTAAATCCTATCATTCGCTTAAGTTGATGTCTTATATGATATTCATGAGTTGGGCAAATAATAACGTAATGATCCCAAGAACCAATTTAGGAAATAATTTTTCATGTACAGAACGACCAAGCTTGGTTTAATTACTGCAATATTTGAAACAATGAGTAAATGACGTTGTTAGTTGTGGTTAACCAAGACTCATATTTTCTCAGTTTTCTCACGATTATCATTAGCCCTGGTAATTTCCCAAGATATTCTCCACGAATATTTGGAAACATATGRCACTTAATCGAAACACGCGCTTTTAGTTTCGATAAATAGAAAATATAATGCAAAAATGCAAATGGAATATTTTAGAAAATAATAAGATATATATCCACCTTGAGTTTGCGTCTGCCGTTGAATTTCTTCATTTCGTCAACACTGTCCTGAAGATGGTCGCGTCTTGGTATTTCTCTGCTCTGAATTAAAGAATTTACAAAATTGTAATATCTGATAGAGGAAATCTTTTGCTTTTGGGTATTGATATTCTTAGGAAAGTGATAGAAGAAACTGAAACAAGTTCCGAAAGTCTGGACAGCTGACCAAGAATGTTGAAGTGGAATTATTAAAAACTTTTACGGTAAAATGAAGTGAAAAGTGGAATACTGGCGTTATTTGAGTTGGGAAAGTAAGTAGTCGTGGTGAAAACACCTGGTCTTTTTGAATTAAAATTAAAGATGGTATTTTCAAAGGAGTAGAAAACGAACTGTTTGCTTTGTTGCAATAATCAGACGACTAATCAGACGACATCTGTTAGGTTGGTGAGCACTTTATATACTTTACGTATCTTGATCAGGAGATAATTAGAATTTGGAGAAAATGAAAGCTATTAATGCATATAAACATTTAGATAAGAAAAGTAATGTTGATAACGATTAAGAATTTTTACAATTTTTAAGACTACCAAAGGTTGTTCTGAAATGAGGGGGCACTCTTTGAGGAAGTAGACATGAAGGGGGAGGGGGGAACTCTATTCAAGGTGGAGGACTTTTGCATGTGAAAAAAGGGGAGCAACAAATGCAGAAATGATTGTGAGGTGCATGGGATCTACTAAAAGCAAGAGGATATGATGGAATCACTTCATGGGGATTACTTGCCACAGGGTGATCACTTCATCTAAGGTCATCCCATAGACAATCAGGGGGATCTTTCAACACAGGGTGACCAGATGATCCAAGGGAGTCACTCCACCCAGAGGACCACTTTGCACAGGGGAACCACTTGACACAGGGTGACCATTTCTACTAAGGTCATCCCATAGACAGACAGGGGGATCTTTCAACACAGGGTGACCAGTTGCTCCAGGGGAACCACTCAACCAAGAGTACCACCAAGAGCTACCCAACTCATTTTTTAACACAGGGTGACCAGTGATCCAGGGGAACCACACAACCAAGAGGACCACCAAGGGCTACCCAACCCATCTTTTAACACTGGTTGACTAGTTGATGCAGGGGAGCCACTCAACCAAGAGGACCACCAAGGGCTACCTAAACCATCTTTCAACACAGGGTGACCAGTTGAATCAGCCACTGAACCTAGAGGACCACAAAAGGCCACCTAACCCAGAGGGTCACATTATACAAGATGGACATGGTATAGACTAAGCTTATTAAAGGTGCACAATGGTGCTGCAATTGTCCCCTTCATTGTTCCCTGCGCCATCTTGAAAGGTAGCTGTGCCTTTGCATCAAAGTGAGATGAAAGTTGAGCTTGCAATGACAGATACATGTTAATAATTGTTCAATGTGTTAAAAACAGGTCTCTATCATTGAAGCTCACCATTAGTCTCGCTTCGATGCAAAGGCAGGGCTACCTTTCAAGATGGCGCAGGGAACTGTGAAGGGGACAATTATACATACTCTAAACCAAGGATGAGAAAGTGCTTCTTCAGCAGTTATTCTCTGTGTTGGATCAGATTTCATCATCTGCATACAAATCTCTTGTGCCTCTTCACTGATATGGTCCCATTGCTTTGATTTCATCTGAATGAAAAAATGTCCTATTTAAACCAAGAAGCACTTTCATGCTTTTTTCCACTTCCCCAGCATTAGTATTTCTAAAGAATGGACTTAAATTTAGCATTTCAATTAGGTGTTTTTTCATCTTAGTACTTTGTTAAATTGTAATTTAGGAATGCTGATTTTTATGAAGGAGGGAAAATCAAAGATGTTTAAGAAAAACCCACAAAACATATAAGAAAATAAAGGACATTTATTCACAGGTAATTTAAATGATATATTCTCCTTTTATCATTACTGTTTCATTAGAAACACCGACGCAGCTCCAGTGGCGGATCTAGGGGTGGGTTTTGGGGGTTGCAGCCCCCCCAATGAAAGCCATTGTGATTTTTTTTTTAAKTTTAATTTTTATGACAACACCAACAGCATCGGAAATTTTATTAAAACAGGACTGCCGAACACATTTCGCTCGCTTTTTTTCTATATGCCGTGTGTGGGACCAGAAACAACCATGCTCGCCTGCAGCAAATAATCATTATCATAAGACCCTACTTCCATTTGGGAACCCTGTGCTACTTTCCCGCCAAACGAGTACCTCAATCAATGCTACAACCCCCCCTTTGAAAAAATTCTGGATCCGCCCCTGAGCTCACACTAGTTTTTAGCTAGTTATCTCTTCCTACTCTCCTATTGGTAAATAACAAAGAAATATCAAATGTTTGTTTATCTGTTTTTCTTACCAAYGGCTGTCCTTTTTTGATTGAATTGTAGACTTTTTCTCCTGTGCCATGGAAGGGGAAATTCCCACCCAGCAAAATGAACAAAATCACACCTGAAATGACCAAAAAAACACAAAGTTATTAAAATTACTGTAACTAACTGACAACCATTACAAACAACCAACAAAGGAGTCGACTTCATCTATAAAATAATGTACCTTTATCACACAGCTTCATGTTTATTCCCATGAGAATAAAGACCTTTGCTTAACCATGCATAACCTCATACTGAAGTGCTTGAGTGCAGGGGCGGATCCAGTGGAGGGGTGCAGGGGTACACACCCCTCCCTGATTCCACTTTGTGCCCCTATTTCGAAGATAACCAATACTGTTTTTTCCCTTTGATTCTAAGGTTGCACCCCTCCCTGAGTTAACGTGATGCACAACACCCCTCCCTGAACAAAATCCTGGATCCGCCCCTGGAATACGAGACCACCTGGGGGGAAGTCTATTATTCCAGTCAACATGGCTGCAGTGTGATAAAGGTCCACAGCTAGAAGCACAGTTCTGCACCCCAATGGGGGTGTAGAAGATAATCAATTATTAAACAAGTATCAATCGTAATGTACCACATCCCCAGACATCTACAGGTTTGCCATACGGTTGTCTTTGAATCACTTCTGGTGACATAAAATGTGGAGTTCCAAGACGACCTATGAATGGAATAAATAACCAACACAGGAATTATGTAGTTGCTCAAATAAACATGCTGTTTCAGAAACTTTTTCACCATTTCAGTAAAAAAGTAAGACCAAAATTATAATTACCACTTAAGATATATCCTTCTGGTGGAAGTTCTACAGCAACACCAAAATCAGCAACTTTTAATGGAGCAGAATTATCTTTACTTGCGAGAAGAAGATTGTGGGGCTAAAGAAAATTGGTAAGTCAGTGACATAGGATGGT